CAATTATATTGGTTGCCTCCTGCCACGCCCCTTCTGCCCTCCGATCCTCCTCCCAAGCCGCCTCCTCCTTCCCCTGTCGCGTTTTTGTTCGAATAGAAAAGGGGTACTTCGTCGTCGTCGCTGTGCAACATAAATAGTTGCGTTTTTGCCACCCATTCCTTGCCATGCACTGAGAGAATTCGGGGGTGGTGTTACATTATTAGAGTAGGAATATTTATTACATTTATAGGGGTTAAGGGGTTTTATTGCAGGGTATTATAGTTTCAGTTATTAGCTTAAAAGGCAGTAAAGTTATCTTTTCCGACCCAATAAATCATATATATTCTTAATCAGCATCAACAGCCTAGTTGATCTAGCCATGTTAGGAAGAAAAAAATGTTTCAATATTTTGAACATTTTTTAAGGGGTTACATTGTAAAAATTTTCAAAAATTTCCAAAACTTTTAGGTTTTAAGTTGAGTATACAAATTTATAAACCTATTCAAAACTAATATAGGAAGGCTTTCCAAATTAAAATTAATGCATTTTTGGCCGAGTTAGGCGTTTTTTAGATTTGGATTTTTTGAAAAAATTTAAAGGTATATAAACTTTGGCTAACCGAGTTTAGTTTCCTTTCCTTGATATTTAATACTTTATCCAGCACTTAACTTGAAGTTAATTAAGACATTTTTGATACTCAAAGGATATTTTTTTAATAGATGTCATTTTTAACATTTTAATTTAATATGTAAATGGATATTGTTTTGTTTTAGAGTGAGCTTAAATTATGAGTTCCTCTAAATATATTTGGGTTTTGGGAATTATTTATTAAATCTTTATTTATCAACAAATCAAACTATTTGTATATACATTTAGTTTACTTATACAACAAACAGAACTAGACATTTTTCCTTAGTTATTTTCTTACTGTGTATCACTTTTAGCGCTGTGCCAGCGAAAATGCTTGAAATTCCTGTGACTGGAAGCGGATAGAGTGTCCTTCGCTGCCGATTCCTTTGGTCGTGCTGCTGCTCCTGCTGCTGCTCCCACAGCTCCTTGTCCTGTGCCTTGTTCCCGCTGCTTAGCTTCGTCAGCGCCATAAATGGCTGCAAAAATGTAAATAGAGTCTAGGGACGGAGTGGAGGAGCGGAGGACACAGAGCACATTGCTCGTTACATGCTGGGGATTCCAGCCAGCGAGCGAGCGAGCGAGTTATTATGACAAACTTTGTTAATTGGAAAATATTCCTCGAAAACGCTGGCTGGCAGCCGCAACATTGAATTCACAGGATACATTCAGCGGCGTCCTCTCCACGAGCCTTTTTCGGTTATGGTTTCTGCGGTCTCCTCAATGCATTCGACAAGTTTCATCTGCGGCAAAGTTTGCTTTGCCTTTGTTTCCTTATATTTTTTTTTGTGTTTTTGTTGAGCAAATATTTGCACAGATGGCATCGGTGGAAAGTAGATTAATTCATTACGCTGCCAGCAAGTTCGTTAAAACTATGGCCACATCTATATACTAGAGCAACTTGGTCCTAAATAGTTGCCAAAGTTGTTGCGGACTTGGTTTTTGGCAGCTTTTGACAAACCGCTTATGGCCAACTTTATGACAGCTGAAAGATCATTTAACGTGAACGTAAACGTAAACGTAAAGTCAACTCGGCCGGACATTTGATGTCTCTGTTTTACATGTGATTTATGGCTATGAAACGCGCTGTCCCAGGACAAACATATGTCCTGCTGCTGTTTATATTTCTCTTCTCGTTTTTTTCTCTTTTTTTTTTTGGAGTATCATTACGGCGTAATGTTTCTCTTTTTTATATGCCACAGTGCCGGATATAATGTGACCCAGAAAAAAGGGGCGGGCAATAAATTCGAGTACGAGGTGACTCCAGCTCCAATGCAGCAGTCAATGTCGTCCTCTGCCTGTCCTGTCCTGTCCTCCATCCGATCATCTTGTGGGTCTCAAAACTGAAGCAGCTCTTCCCCGGGCAATCCATTGCAGTCCGCCATCATTGTGGTCCTCATCGCCATCATCAATTCGTCCCTGGACTGGACGATGAGGAGGATGATGATGATGGAGATGATGGTGATGATGGTGATGATGGTGATGGTGACCCAAGCCAATTGTACTCTTGGCGAGGACAGAACGAGTGCTAGCACTTTGATGGTTGAGCTGCAAGGCAGTCAGAAAAAATATTTTACATTTAAAGAACATTTAAAGATATTTCCGAGAAGGATATGATCTTTATTTGCTGTAAGTTTCTATATACTTTAAGTTGAAAATATTAATTTTAAAGATTATATTTATATTGATACTAAATCCATACCTTAATTTACTTATTCATTTCCACCCCACTTGTTACAAAATGTAAAACTACATCGATTTAATCTATCCTTTGAGTGCATTTCCATGGTGAATCTATAATGATTTCCTTGATTCCTTCGACCCCTTTATGTGCAGTGTTTTGGCGTGAAGTAGACAGGATACTCGATGGCCGACTGTGGTACGTGTGTTCATGGCCAATCCTCGTGACGGCATTTTATTGTTTGCTGTCGGTCTTTAGTCCTTCGAGTGTGTATTTATTGTGTACTACACACAGTGTGTGGGTGTGGTTGGGTGTCGTTCTCGTTCTCGTTCTCATTGGCCTGTGACTTGTGTCGTGTTAGTTCTAAAGGATCCGCCGCTATCCGGTTTTCCATATTTTTTTGCTCCCTCCCCCCGCCCGTCTGCCCCGCCCTATGCAGAGTGGGGTCCGTATCCTTTATGTAATTGCAAGTGCCAGCGATTATGTACACGCAACTATGACTTTAACTGCTCCTGGTTGTTTTCAGTTCGGAGTATAGACTTTAGTAATTCCAAGAATATGGGAGCAGTGCTGTTTTATAAGAGTTTGTTGTGGGAAAATGGGTAAAGATATAGGGTATTTAGTAGCTGAAAGTGATTAGAAACTATATAGAAAAAATATCATTCCAATTTATAAATTCAGAAGCTTAAAACTAAGTTATGGAATCATTTCCGACCCCATAAATTATATATATAGTCGTGATCAGCATTGAAAGGAGAGTCGGCCTAGCTATATTTTAGGGAAAAATAATTTTTAAATTTTCTTTTAGAGTTTTTCAAAAAAAGTTAAGGGGTTACATCGTTAAAATTTTCAAAAATCTACAAAAATCAGTATTAAAAGGGAAGTCGATCGAGCTATATGTTAAGGAAAAATAATTTTAAAAATTTGTTTCGGATTTTTCAAAAAAAGATGAGGGGTTACATCGTTAAAATTTTCAAAATTTGCCAAAAATTTGAGGTTTTAAACTGAGTATGAAGATTTGTTAACCTATTAAAAACTAACATAGAAATGCTTTCCAATTTAAAATTATGGCTTAGTTATGACATGTTTAAACTTTGATTAGTTTCAAAAAACTCGAATAGTTTAAGCTTTTAATCGATTTTCGATTCAATCCCATAAATCTATTGCAAACTGCAAGAGCACATAAACTCGGTCTTCCCTTAGATACTTTCCTTTCTTGTTTAAATTAATTTCAATTACAAAGAACCCTTAAAATTCTTCTAAAACCTGCAATAATTATCCCAAAAAATAAAAAAATTTTCCCTTACAAATTTTACATTTCGTCCCATATTTCTACTCATCACTATTGTGATATTTCGTAGTCCGTTGAGTGTTGCTATTGTCACGCCTGTTTTTTGGGGGCGGCCTCCCGTTGCCACTGACAACCAACAGGCACACTTTGTGCTCGACAAACACTACTACAACAATTGCCCCTCGAAAGGGAACAGCAAAGCCCAAAGAGAACCCAGCAACCCCTCAAACCACCCTCGCACAACCACATGCAGGCGGACAGACGCACACACTTGTGCACTTTTCCAACACCCACGCACACACACACGCACACTTTGTGTGTGCTTTCAATCAGGCACTGAATTGAAAATCCATTAACGAGTACAAGGCGGAGGCACTGGCGCCAGCTGGCACCCACTGGCTGCCACTGGATACTCTTCCACTTTCCCTGACTTTCCCGACTTCCATCTCGGGTTCTTTTTGGGGGGGGGGGGGGGAGAGGGGGAAGCACGGTCCGCGGCTATATATTTTCTTGAACAATAAAAAAATAACACACAAATTTGGTGCTTCTGTTCCTGCTGTTGCTGTTGCTCCTGCAGCAGTCAAGGACACTATCGCACATTCCACTGAATGCATTTGCAACTAACAAAGGATGTGACTGCACTTGGGGAAAATGTGGGTGGAAATTTATCAAGAAGAAAGTTGAAATACTTGAAATTAAGTCAATCCTGGGCGGTTTCTATATATCCTTCAAGGAAGTTTGGTTTGGAAGAGGGGTCTTAATTGATTTTTCAATTATCCAAAAGTGCAAAACGTATGAAACAAATTCCTTATTTCATTTAGAAATTCACCATTAAGTTAAAACGGTTTCCCTCAGTGCATTAAACCGAACAGACCCCTAAAATTCAAATAAATCAAAGATAAATCCGAAAAACCAAAGAAAAGAAAATCGAAACTCAAAGAGCGCATCGAAAATGTTGACCTGCGTGTGTCGACCCGTCTCCGGCAATCTGCCCAAGATGCCGCCTGTCTCGTTGATGCCGGTGCCCAGGTCCTCGTCATCATCCTCATCATCGACGGCCTCCAGCAGCTCCTCCTCGGGCTCGGACTCCTCCGCCTCCGCCTCCGTGCGCGGTGGAATGGTGGTGGTGACCTGTGAGCCCAAGCTGAATGTGAGTATCTACGGAGCAAATCCAATCTGTGGAGCAACAAAAAGCCGAAATTAGCTTAAGCATAACTTGATTTATGGCTGACCACGAGCGTTGACAACTTTTCGTTTGACTTTTGAGTTGAGTTTTCCCAGGGAGGGGTTCGGATTATAAATTGTGAAAATTTCATTTGGCACTTTGCTTTTCTTTCTTTCTTTATTTTTGGTTGAGGCACCCCAACACACGCCTCCTTAATCGCAATCGTATAATCCTAATCCCCAATCTCTCCACTGCAGGTGCCCAGCAGGCTGACGTCAGCCGAACTGAGGGCGATGGCATTGAGACAGCAGCAGCAAATCGACAGCCAGCACCAGCTGCTGGCCACCAAGGAGCAGCGCCTGCGCTTCCTCAAGTCGCAGGAGGTGCGCAGCGCCGTGGCCAGCGCGGAGGGCGAGCGGCTCCGGCGGCTAAGGGAGCGCGTGGAGGCGCAGGAGTCCAAGCTGCGGCGCCTGAGAGCGTTGCGGGGTCAAGTGGACCTCCAGAAGACCTACAATGTCACACTGAGTGAGTACACCTGTAGAAAAATACCTGAAGAAAAACCACAAAGAAATATTTTATAGCAAATTGATTAATGGGCTAAAGGTATTTAAAAAGTTAAGCCAGGAGCTTGGGGTTTCCCTTAGCAGAAATGTTATTGAATTCCATTTGAACTTGTAAATGATTTGAAGAGTTAAGAAAATATATTACTTTTAAGGAATATATTACTTTATTACTACAATGTCACACTGAGTGAGTACACCTGTAGAAAAATACCTAAAGGAAAACCACAAAGAAATATTTTATCGCAAATTGATTAATGGGCTAAAGGTATTTAAAAAGTTAAGCCAAGAGCTTGGGGTTTCCCTTAGCAGAAATGTTATTAAATTCCATTTGAACTTGTAAATGATTTTTAGAGTTAAAGAAATATATTACTTTTAAGGAATATATTACTTTATTACTACAATGTCACACTGAGTGAGTACACCTGTAGAAAAATACCTAAAGAAAGACCACAAAGAAATATTTTATAGCAAATTAGTTTGAAGTTGATTAATGGGCTAAAGGTATTTAAAAAGTTAAGCCAGGAGCTTGGGGTTTCCCTTAGCAGAAATGTTATTGAATTCCATTTGAACTTGTAAATGATTTGAAGAGTTAAGGAAATATATTACTTTTAAGGAATATATTACTTTATTACTACAATGTCACACTGAGTGAGTACACCTGTAGAAAAATACCTAAGGAAAAACCACAAAGAAATATTTTATCGCGATTTTTTTTAAGATTGATTAATGGGCTAAAGGTATTTAAAAAGTTAAGCCAGGAGCTTGGGGTTTCCCTTAGCAGAAATGTTATTGAATTCCATTTGAACTTGTAAATGATTTTAAGAGTTAAGAAAATATATTACTTTTAAGGAATATATTACTTTATTACTACAATGTCACACTGAGTGAGTACACCTGTAGAAAAATACCTAAAGAAAGACCACAAAGAAATATTTTATAGCAAATTGATTAATGGGCTAAAGGTATTTAAAAAGTTAAGCCAGGAGCTTGGGGTTTCTCTTAGCAGAAATGTTATTGAATTCCATTTGAACTTGTAAAAGATTTTTAGAGTCAAGGTAATATATAACTTTTAGGAGACTAGGCTTTATAGGGATCATTGAAATATAAATTTGTACTTTGAAAATAGTTTAACAAACTCTTATACTTAGTAAAGAATATTTCTTACCAGGGAATCTTAGAATTTTTTTAACTAACTCACATTTATTAAAGATTTAATGTAGTTTCTGATAAACTTTAGTGTATTCCGTATTATTTATAAATATATAAATTACAAGTATATTGACACTATTATACCATTTATTTAATTTTTATTTATACTTTATTTGTCACAGTGTGGCAATCGCTTAATCAAATTAAATTGAGTACTCAGAAATTTGCATTTTAATGGCCGTCTATCAAAATTTTAATACTTAATCAGAGATGTGAAGGTCGCTTGGACTATATAAACGAGATTAGTAATATGTAATTAAGTATGAGCTAGAAAAGAAGCCAACTTTGTGAAGCCAAAATTCATATACCCTTCAATTTTTCAATTGGAAACTTCACTTAGGACTTTGAACACAACTCAGGCAAAAATGAATTGACTTCAATTCGGAAAACTGATTTATGCTAGTTTTTTGAAGACTAGTAAATCTGCATACTCAGTTTACAAAATTATAAAAATCAAAATATTATAAATTTTTAACAATTTTAATTATGTAACCCCTTATAAAATTTTGAAAAAATCCAAAAAATTAGTTTTCTTTAAAATATAGCTAGATCAGCTCGTTTCTTAATGCTGATTGAGAATAAAAAGAAAAAGAAATAACTCCTTCACTTTGTTTCAAGCTTCTGAATAAATTTATTATACTCCTCATTTAATTAAATTGTATTTATTCTTATTTAATCAATTGTAAACTGCAGGGATATACAGACTTCTATGTGCCAGAGATAGCTTCCTTTCTTGTTAAAACTAATTATTGAATGACTTATCCTTTCGAGGATGGTAAAGAATCTAAACTGCAACTGTGCAAATTGCATTTCCGCACTCTTTCGACAGTGTAACCCAAGGGGGGAATGGGCTTCGAGGATCCTTGTTCCCCAGGAGGGTTATGCCAAGGACAGTGGCAAAGTGGCGCCAAGTGCATCTGCTTGGGATATCCTATCCCGCGTCCTAAGCTTCCTTCCTTCCCGCCTGCCCCTCCAATTGAGTTAAGCACCGTTGGCTGAGTGGGGAAGAGGGGTTCTTTGGGTGAATTAACATGTGTTAAAACCGTGTTGAGTGCTGCTGGCCTGCCTTTATCCTTGCTCCTTTAATCCCCCTGCCCCCCTTGCGTGTGTGAATTTAATTTATGTATGTGTGCCACTTTGTTGTCCTTTATGATTGCCTGTGGGCGGTGGCAACACCACCTCCTGAACATGGCTAAGAAGAGATGTAGGAGCCACACATCTACTCACATTGGGGATATTGTACAGGGGTATTATGTTAATGAGCTGGCGCCCTGTGTTGTGGCCGTAATTAGTTTGAACAGGCAACCCAAATCCAAATCGGAGTCCACGAAGGGAAAGCGTGAGGGCAGGACCAGCAGGCGGTCGACGATTATAAAATAGTTAGTGCGGCTAACGAATGGATCGCCATAACGAGTTGATTAAGAGACATAATGAGAGGGAGCTGGAAAAACCTCTAGGAAAATGGCAACGCTTTGAATTAGGGCTGAAAATTATTTAATTGCGGGTTTTCCACAAGGAACACTTGGCCTCTTAAGAGCATCTTAATGAAACATAATAATCCCGAGCTAAGCTAAATATTTACTTGGGTTTAAGTATGCTGTACGAGTGAGGTTTCTCAGGATTTCTTATTAAAATTAACATATTTTTTATAATGATGAAAATTAAATACTTTTCAATGAGAAATTATACAAATCAAAATCTTAACAATCTCTGCTTAAAATCAAACAAATTCCTATTTCAGTCATGTAACTTCCAAATAAATCTCAATAAGCCACAATTTATTGGCCTAAAAGGAAGTGGTCAACAAATGTGCACCATTCACTTTTATTACCTAATTTATATTTAATGGTTAATGGCCACCTATTAACCGGAAGCATGTTAAATGCCCAAATTAGGCGTAGTTTCTACGAAACTTGCTTGATAAATCTTGAATTTGTTTTCATAAAATAGTGTATAATATTTAAATTTTCCTGTTTTACTTTTTAGGCAATGACCTGGACTCGATACGGGCCTTGTTTAGTGAGAAGGAGAAGGAGCTCAGCTTGGCGGTGGCCAAAGTGGAGGCTTTAACCCGTCAGTTGGAGGAGCTGCGACGTGACCGCCGGTGTCCGGTGAATCTCTTGGCAGCCACAGGCAATGGCGTGGGCCAATCCCTGCCCCCGCAGGCATCCCGCGAGCTGGAGAAGCTTCGACGCGAATTGATGGTGAGTTGAGTGTATATAAAGTGTATATATAGTATGTAATACATAGTATTTGCCTTTAATTGCATATATTTACCACAATATTCCACTTGGCTGGCTTGACTAATGAGCGTTTGGTGGTTAGCTATTGCAATTATTCGTGACAGCGCTGTAGAGCCAAGATTTAATATTAAATTTGACAAGTTGAAGGCTTAAATGATGTCTTTTCTTAATTATTTTTGCAGTATCGCAACCAGCTGTCGCTGCAGCAGGACGCCCGGCTGCACATGCAACGCGAGGCCTTGCAGCAACGACAGGCGGAGCTGCGTTCGGTGGACCAGCGCATCTACGAGCTGCAGACGCGCCTGCAGCGCAAGAAGCAGGCCAATACCCATCACCAGCAGCAGCAGCAGCACCAGCAACTCCAACAGCAGCAGCAGCAGCAGCAACAACAACAGGTGCAACAGCAGCAGCAGCAGCAGCAGCAGCAGTTGCATGCTCAGTCCGCGCAATTGCTGGCGGCAGCAGCAGCAGCAGCCACGGCTCAGCAGCAACATCAACAGCAGCAACAGCAACAAAAGCAGCAACAGCAGACCTTGGCCTACCAACAACCCGGACAAAGTGGCAAGCATGGCGGCGGAGTGGCCGCCCTGAAGCAGCAACTCCTCCAGAAGCAGGTCAACCAACTGGCAGCCGCTGCTGCTGCCGCTGCCGCTGGCCGAGCACGTGGCAATGTGGCCGCCGTGGAGCCCTTCATCCACACGCCCCAGAAGTCTACCATTACCAGCACGGCCAGCTACCTTAGTGGCGGTGGCATGAAGCATGCGGCGGCAACGGCCAATACCAACCAGCAGAACCAGCTCATCCAGGACCTGACGCATGTCAAGAACAGTGGTTTCTTTGCGGGATCCGTCCCGGTGTCCGTGCCAGTGCCAGTTGCCAGTTCCAGCAGCGAGAGTGATGAGTCCAAGCTGGCCAAGAAGTCCAGGTCGGAGGCGGAGTTGCGCAAGCAGGCACAGTCCGAGGCCATGGATAGTACCACACATATATACGCGGAAGTGGGACCCAAGAAGAGGGATCGAGAAGCGGCGGCAGCAGCAGCTCAAGCAGCAGCCGAAGCAGCAGCAGCAGCAACAACAGCAGCAGCAGCAGCAGCAACAACAGCAGCAGCAGCGGCAACAGCCACATCCCCGCCAGCTTCAGCCAGCAAAATCCCGAAGAGCATCTCCTCCTCCAGCAGCAGCAGTTCGGCCTCCGCTTTGATCACCAAACTCAACCAGCAGCAGCAGCAGCAGGCGGCGGCCAAGGACAACAGTCACCAGGATCAGCAGCAGAAGAAGAATGAGATTTCGGTGACCAGCGAGACCCTCTCGGAGCGCAACACCCAGCAGCAGCTCACCGTGCACAGCATGCCCCTGGGAGCTGTGAGTAAATCCGTGGCCATTGCCGTCTCCAATGCCGCCTCCAAGCCGCTTCAGGTGCAAGTAAGCAATCTGGCAGTGCCACCGCGCAAGCCCATCAGCAGTGTGGCGCCCACCTCGGTGTCCAGCGGTGGCAGCTCCATACCCAAGATGATAACCTACAGCCCGAAGGTGAATCGTGTGGCGCCCAATGTGGTATTGACAGACCCAAGGCCAGCGTTGCCGCCAAAGCCCAGCAAGATGTCGCCCACGGAACAGCCTTCACCAGTGGAAGTTACATCCTCAGCATCAACGGGAACGGGAACGGGAACAACTGGAGGAGCTGCATCCTCATCGGGAGCTGGCAAGACGCAGGCGGCCACCTTTGGTCTGCAATCCCTAAACATCAACGACAACTTGCCCATCAAGGCCAAGCCGCTGACCATTCGCAAGCAGCCGCTGTTCGAGCAGCCGCGTCTCAAGGTCGCCTCCAATGGTGGCCAGCCAAAGCAGCCGGCAGTGCTGCTGCAGCTCCAGAGTCAACGGAAATCAGAACCGGCAGCCGGACGACAAACAACCGAGGCCATGAAGACGACAGCTTCCCCGGAAGCATCGCCTCAGCACTCGCCCAGCAGCGGCGGTGAATCCAGCGCCGATGAAACAGATCGCATGGTGGTCCCAGTAGTGGGTCAGCAGGAGGCAGGCACATCTCCAGGAGCTGCCACAACGACGACCACGACCACGACGAGCAACATCAAGGAGCGAACTGGCAATAAGCCCAAGCTTGCTCGCCGCGTCAGCTTTGATCCCTTGGCCCTGCTCTTGGATGCCAGCTTGGAGGGTGAACTGGAGCTGGTGAAGAAGACGGCCATGCAGGTGGCCAATCCCAGTGCGGCCAACGATGAGGGTATCACCGCCCTCCACAATGCCATCTGTGCCGGACACTTTGACATTGTCAAGTAGGTGTCACTTTTAGTCCTTTTTCTTTCCCTTCCCTTTGGAAATCAAAATCTCTTAATTAATCATTTTGCCTTGCTTAGATTCCTGGTGGAATTCGGTTGCGATGTGAATGCCCAGGACTCGGATGGCTGGACGCCGCTGCATTGTGCCGCCAGCTGCAACAACCTGTCCATGGTCAAGTTCCTGGTGGAGAGCGGCGCCTGTCTGTTTGCCTCCACGCTCTCGGACCACGAGACGCCGGCGGAGAAGTGCGAGGAGGATGAGGAGGGCTTCGATGGCTGCTCCGAGTATCTTTACAGTAAGTAGAAAAGGATTGGGTTCAGGGACTTTCAAGGAATTGGGCTTTAGAGATGATTTCCACGAATTTTTACATATTCTTATATTTAAATCGGAAAAACCTCTTGCACACACAAGTCCCTAATTTGTTGTATATTTTCCCCACAGGCATTCAGGAGAAGCTGGGCATCCTGCACAATGGCGACGTGTACTCGGTGTTCTCCTATGAGGCCCAGAATGGCGATGAGTTGTCCTTCCATGTGAACGAGCCGCTGATCGTGCTGCGGAAGGGTGACGATGCCGAGAACGAGTGGTGGTGGGCACGGAATGCCGGCGGCGAGGAGGGCTACGTGCCCCGGAACCTCCTTGGGGTGAGTCCACCAAATAGCGCCACGTCCTAGGACCGAAACGAACTCCTTTCTCTTCTTTCTCTCCACTCACAGCTGTACCCACGTGTGCCGCCGCAGTCACCGCACTTCAGCGATTAGCAGTTAATACGCTTCACCATCCTGAAGCGCAAGGCTGGCAGACTCATCCAGAAGCGCTACATATCCAAGTACATCTAGGGAGCCATGGATGATGGGATGATGATGGGGGGGAGGGAGTGTGCAGGAGGCTCTGGTGAAGATTCTGAGCACGTGCCGCCGCAGGAGTCATCGGGGAATTATTTATCACAGCTCGGATGTTTCTTTTTGTTTACTTTTTTGTTATTGGGAAAAGCAACACAAAGGGATATGGGCAAGAGGAGGTGGATTCGGAGTCGGAGTCGAAGTCGGAGGAGCTGCGACCATATGCTCAACCATATGGAATGGCATCAACTGCAGCAGGAGCTTCCGCCTTGGCCATTTATCTCGACGACTGGCCCCAATTAGCCGGCACAGAGTTCACACAACACACACACCCTCTGGACCACTCCCCTGCATACGTACAACCGCAAATTGAATTTCACTTAAGCTCCTTAGCTTTAAGGCCTAGACTAATGCCAATAACTCACCATCAGCCGCCTGCTCGCCACACAAGAAAAACTTTACCTTCGAGCTGGAAAAAGCTTTGCAATTGAAAAGCGAGAAAAGCCATCGAAGGAGTTTTTGTTAATTGCATATATCAAGTTAGCACTTAAAAGCCTAATTGAACTCGAACCAAGTTCAGTAAACATTTATGGTAACAAGAATACGAAGACATAACAAATCGAATGTGATTTTTGTATAAAGACGAGGATAATTTAAACAAATTTGTATCGAATATATGAAGGGTTCGTAGGTGTAAGTTCGTTGACAAGTAATCGCATTATTAGGTTATACTAATATATTTAACTTTAACTATAACTTGACTTAATTACACTTAATGTACCGATCGATTGCTTAATTCTTAGATCCTAAGGACCAAGCCCTACACACCCCAATACTTAAAATGCAACAAAATACGTTTGAAAAATGAAAATAAAACAATTAAGAAAGCTTGAGAGAAGGAGAGTTTATTTATTTGCTCAGCATTGAAAAATCACTTTAAAACTGCAATCGAACTGCAGCTCGTGTTCAGTGTTCAATTGCAGTTTCTACGAGATGCAACTGAGAATTCTCTGGAAATTCTCCTCTTCTTATTCCGAGTGAAAAAGCTTTTCCGGCACGCGAACATCAATTAAATTTGAGTCTATACTATAAATGGTGATTACATGACTTCGGTCAGTGGTTTACATATTAATAAATCTTTTGAAAAGTAAACACTTTGTATTCGCGAATGTTTGCAATGTCAACGGAGGAATATACTTAATGAATTATGGAGCTATAACGTTGTTTGAGGAATTTTTATGTATTTTGTAAATATCTTGTGATACTGTTGTGTTACGGCATCCCAGTTTGGTTTCCGATTTCGTTACTATCATCTAATGCCTTCCTTTACAAAGTGATCTTATTGAAAAGTAAACATTTTACACTTTAACAAGTACAAGTTGAGTTGATTGTAATCTTAATGAGAAATGTATTTAACATGGTTATTATCATCTAGCAAATTAATCATATATCAAGCAGCAGTAGTCATCAATGGATTAGCTTTTGTGGATTTTAAGACATCTATTCCGCAGTAATTTGGCAAAAGCTCAACACCAAGCATAATTTCCACTCTCAAATATTTTATATAACTTCTTCAAGATCAACTTCCTTCTCGGCTGAAGGTTGAAAGTTGAATGACGAAAGCTGTTTCTTGTTGTTAGTGATTCTCTTAATTAAAAACAAGAAACAGCTGATGAAAGCTGTTTCTTGTTGTTGATGATTCTCTTAATTAACAACACGAAACAGCTTTTGTCTTTCAACTTTCAACCTTCAGCAGAGAAGGAAGTTGATCTTAAAGAAATTATATAACATATTTGAGTGTGGAAATTAAATTTAAAGATTAAAACAATGCAGTTTTCACTGCTATGTGGACTCCTCCTAGCTGGAGGTTTCTATTCTCAGCTAGAATTAGCTGAAGGAGCCAAGATTTTGGCTGTGTACGCCTTTCCAGGTAAATGTTTCTCCCTAACTGAAATACATTCTTTTGATCCCGTGACAATATGAGATCCTTTGGCCAGGCAAATCCCATTTCATGATGCACACGGCCCTGATGAGGGAACTCGTTGAAAGTGGCCACCAGGTGACCATGATCACGGCCTTCTCCCTGGCGAAAGAGCAGCTGGGCGGCAATTATACGGAGATCTTGATCGAACCGGTCTATGATTTCTGGCACGATGGTGAGTGTAGAAAAACGAAAAACAAATCCGTGAGATCAGCCTCCACTTATCCATCATTATTAAATCTCGAAATCCGAATTCAGTCAAATTGAACTTTGGAGCCCAGCACCTGTTCGAGCTGACACGCATGACCAACTACGACTTTCTGAAGATGCTCGAGATTATAGGTCTCAAGACCACGGAACATGCTCTCAAGCAGCCCAAAGTTCAGGCTCTTATCCATGCCAAGGAAACAGAAGGTGTCTTTGATCTTCTCCTGGCGGAGCAGTTCTACCAGGAGGCCTTCTTAGCCTTGGCCAAGATCTATAAGATACCCGTGGTGACCACCAGCACTTTGGGTTACGAAAACCACATGAGCCAGATGATGGGTTTGATTACGCCTTGGTCCTTTGTACCACATGGATTCATGCCCTTCACGGATCGCATGAGTTTCCTGGAGCGAGTGAAGAACTCTTATGCTTCCCTGTACGAGGATTTGGACAGACTGCTCAATTACTTCCCCAAAATGGATGCGGTGGCCAAAGAGTTCTTTGGCTCCGTTTTGGGTAAGATTAAGGAGGAGGAGCATACGAAGCTTCTTACGAATCATCATCGTTGTTCCTTGCAGCTGAGGTTCCAAAAGTCAAGGACATGGAGCGCCAAATCTCGGTGATGCTGCTAAACAGTCACGCTCCGTTGACCACGGCACGTCCCACGGTGGACGCCATGGTCCCAGTGGGTGGCATGCACATATATCCGCCCAAGGCTCTCCCCCAGGACATGCAGGACTTCTTGGATGGCGCCGGCGAGGCGGGAGCCATCTACTTCAGCCTGGGCAGCAATGTCCAGAGCAAGGATATGCCGCCGGAGATGCTGCGCCTGTTCCTACGGGTATTCGGTTCACTTCGGCAGCGGGTTCTGTGGAAGTTCGAGGATGAGAGCATTGGCCAATTGCCCGCGAATGTGATGGTAAGGAAGTGGCTGCCCCAGGCCGATATCCTGGCTCATCGCCACGTCAAGGTGTTCATCACGCATGGCGGCCTTTTTGGGACACAGGAGGGTGTCCACTATGCGGTTCCCATGCTGGGGATTCCCTTTTACTGTGACCAGGTGGGAGAAGACATAAGTAGTAATCAGAAAAATTAATAACCTTTTATTCCTTGTCAATTGTACAGCATTTGAACATGAACAAGGCTGTTCTGGGTGGCTATGCCATCAGTCTGCACTTTCAGTCCATCACCGAGATGACCTTGAGGCAATCCCTGCTTCAACTCATCCACAATGGAACCTACAAGGAGAACATTCAGCGGGTGTCCAACATTTTCAAGGACCGCCAGCAGGAGCCGCGCCGAACAGCTGTCTATTGGATCGAGTATGTCATCCGGTATGGAGGAGCTCCGCACATGCGATCCGCTGGCCTGGACCTCAACTGGTTCCAGTTCTATCTCCTGGATGTGATTGCCTTTGTTGTAGTCGTTTTCATAGCTGGAATTATGGCCATTTGGCTGGCCATTCGACTGCTGATGGGCAGTGACAAGAAGCACAGAAAAACTAAGAAAATTCATTAGATTTAGAGATTTTTATACCTTGCATGGTATTATAATTTCAGTCAGAAGTTTTCAACGCAGCGAAGGAGTCACTTCCGACCCCATGAAGCATATATATTTTTGATCAGCATTAAAAGAGAAGTTAATGCAGCTATATTTAAAAGAAACATTTTATTTTAATTTTTGTCGATTTAAATAAAAAGGAAAGGGGTTACATCATTAAAATATTAAAAAATTGGCCAAAATTCACATTTTAAATTGAGTATGCAGTTTTATTAACTTGCTAAAAATGAACATAACAACGCTCTCCGAATTGAAATTAATGCATTTTTGGCTTAGTTATGAGATTTTTAAATATTTGATTTGTAGTAAAATTTGCATAAAAAAATATAGTTAATAAAAATGGTATTTCACCTTCAGTCCGAAGCTTAAAAGAAAGTAAAGGAATCATTTCCGACCCTATAAATCATATATATTCTTGATCAGCACGATCACCCGAGTCGATTGAGCCGTCTCCGGCCAAAATCTATTTTTTTCCAAATCTCCGAAAATTTAAAAATTTTATAAGGGGTTACATCATTAAAATTGCCAAAAATTGGAAAAAAATCGAATCTCTTTAAATGTTAAATTGAGTATGCAGTTTTTTTAAACTGATAAAAACTAGCATTAGAACGCTTTCCGAATTAAAATTGGATCGTTTTTGGCTAAGTTATGTATTTTTAAACTTTGATTGGTCGAAAAAATTTTAGTAAAAAAATGTGGACAAATATTGACTCAAAGTATGGTATTGTAATTTTAGTCAGAAAATTTTTACGTTGTGAAGGAGTCATTTTCGAGTAAGCAGTTTTATTACTTTGATAGTAAACAACACAGGCCCGCTTTCCGAATTAAAATTGGATCGTTTTTGGCTAAGTTATGAATTTTTTAAACTTTGATTGGTCGAAAAAAAATGTAGTAAAAAAATGTGGACAAATATTGACTCAAAGTATGGTATTTTAATTTTAGTCAGAAGCTTTTTACGCCATGAAGGAATCATTTCCGACCCTATAAATCATATATATTCTTGATCAGCACGATCAGCCGAGTCGATTGAGCCGTCTCCGGCCAAAATCTATTTTTTTTCCAAATCTCCGAAAATTTAAAAATTTTATAAGGGGTTACATCATTAAAATTGCCAAAAATTGGAAAAAAATCGAATCTCTTTAAATGTTAAATTGAGTATGCAGTTTTTTTAAACTGATAAAAACTAGCATTAGAACGCTTTCCGAATTAAAATTGGATCGTTTTTGGCTAAGTTATGTATTTTTTAAACTTTGATTGGTCGAAAAAATTTTAGTAAAAAAATGTGGACAAATATTGACTCAAAGTATGGTATTGTAATTTTAGTCAGAAAATTTTTACGTTGTGAAGGAGTCATTTTCGAGTAAGCAGTTTTATTACTTTTATAGTAAACAACACAGGCCCGCTTTCCGAATTAAAATTGGATCGTTTTTGGCTAAGTTATGAATTTTTTAAACTTTGATTGGTCGAAAAAATTGTAGTAAAAAAATGTGGACAAATATTGACTCAAAGTATGGTATTGTAATTTTAGTCAGAAAATTTTTACGTTGTGAAGGAGTCATTTTCGAGTAAGCAGTTTTATTACCCTGATAGTAAACAACACAGGCCCGCTTTCCGAATTAAAATTGGATCGTTTTTGGCTAAGTTATGAATTTTTTAAACTTTGATTGGTCGAAAAAAATGTAGTAAAAAATGTGGACAAATATTGACTCAAAGTATGGTATTGTAATTTTAGTCAGAAAATTTTTACGTTGTGAAGGAGTCATTTTCGAGTAAGCAGTTTTATTACCCTGATAGTAAACAACACAGGCCCGCTTTCCGAATTAAAATTGGATCGTTTTTGGCTAAGTTATGAATTTTTTAAACTTTGATTGGTCGAAAAAATTGTATAACAAGAAAGGAAGCTAACTTCGGCACGCCGAAGTTTATATACCCTTGCAGATAGAAATTCTATGACTAGGAATCCATACAATATAAATTATATATATTTGTGTTAAAAAACAATGAAGTAATACCTGCTTTCATTTCATTCACCTATACATATTATATTTGCAGCTTTTCGTTCACAGATTTCCATTTTTCTTCTACATCAAACAATAGTTTGTATGGCACCTATATGATATAGTCGTCCGATTTTCATGAAATTTGACACAAAATTTAAGACTAATATAAAATGGCTACACCTTAAATTTGATGAAAATCTATTGAAAACTGAAAAAGTTATAATTTTTAATTGTATTAATTTCTCTATCGTTCCTATGGGAGCTATATGATATAGTATTCCGATTTTCATAAAATTTTATACAAAATTGTAGAGTATAATAAAATGGCTATATCTCAAATTTGATCCAATTCTATTGAAAACTGAAAATGTTAAAATTTTTTTTGTAAAAATTTTCCGATCATTCCTATGGCAGCTATATGATATAGTCGTCCGATCCGGCCCGTTCCGACATATATACGAGTGAGAGTATATAGAAGGCTAACTACAAAGTTTCATTCAGATAGCTTCAAAACTGAGAGACTAGTTTGCGTAGAAACGGACAGACGGACAGACGGACAGACGGACAGAAGGACAGACGGACAGACGGACAGACGGACAGACGGACAGACGGACATGGCTAGATCGACTCGGCTGTTGATCCTGATCAAGAATATATATACTTTATATGGTCGGAGGTGCCTCCTTCACTGCGTTGCAAACTTCTGACTGAAATTATAATACCCTGCAAGGGTATAAAAATGTAGATAAATATTGCCTCAAAGAATGGTATTTTAATTTTAGTCAGAAGCTTTTTACGCCATGAAGGAATCATTTCCGACCCTATAAATCATATATATTCTTGATCAGCACGATCAGCCGAGTCGATTGAGCCGTCTCCGGCCAAAATCTATTTTTTTTCCAAATCTCCGAAAATTTAAAAATTTTATAAGGGGTTATAATCATTAAAATTGCCAAAAATTGGAAAAAAATCGAATCTCTTTAAATGTTAAATTGAGTATGCAGTTTTTTTAAACTGATAAAAACTAGCATTAGAACGCTTTCCGAATTAAAATTGGATCGTTTTTGGCTAAGTTATGTATTTTTTAAACTTTGATTGGTCGAAAAAATTTTAGTAAAAAAATGTGGACAAATATTGACTCAAAGTATGGTATTGTAATTTTAGTCAGAAAATTTTTACGTTGTGAAGGAGTCATTTTCGAGTAAGCAGTTTTATTACCCTGATAGTAAACAACACAGGCCCGCTTTCCGAATTAAAATTGGATCGTTTTTGGCTAAGTTATGAATTTTTTAAACTTTGATTGGTCGAAAAAATTGTAGTAAAAAAATGTGGACAAATATTGACTCAAAGTATGGTATTGTAATTTTAGTCAGAAAATTTTAACGTTGTGAAGGAGTCATTTTCGAGTAAGCAGTTTTATTACCCTGATAGTAAACAACACAGGCCCGCTTTCCGAATTAAAATTGGATCGTTTTTGGATAAGTTATGTATTTTTTAAACTTTGATTGGTCGAAAAAAATGTAGTAAAAAAATGTGGACAAATATTGACTCAAAGTATGGTATTTTAATTTTAGTCAGAAGCTTTTTACGCTAAAATTGGATCGTTTTTGGCTAAGTTATGAATTTTTTAAACTTTGATTGGTCGAAAAAATTGTAGTAAAAAAATGTGGACAAATATTGACTCAAAGTATGGTATTGTAATTTTAGTCAGAAAATTTTTACGTTGTGAAGGAGTCATTTTCGAGTAAGCAGTTTTATTACCCTGATAGTAAACAACACAGGCCCGCTTTCCGAATTAAAATTGGATCGTTTTTGGCTATGTTATGTATTTTTTAAACTTTGATTGGTCGAAAAAATTGTATAAAAATGTAGATAAATATTGCCTCAAAGAATGGTATTTAATTTTAGTCAGAAGCTTTTTACGCCATGAAAGTATGGTATTGTAATTTTAGTCAGAAAATTTTACGTTGTGAAGGAGTCATTTTCGAGTAAGCAGTTTTATTACCCTGATAGTAAACAACACAGGCCCGCTTTCCGAATTAAAATTGGATCGTTTTTGGCTAAGTTATGAATTTTTTAAACTTTGATTGGTCGAAAAAAATGTAGTAAAAAAATGTGGACAAATATTGACTCAAAGTATGGTATTTTAATTTTAGTCAGAAGCTTTTTACGCTAAAATTGGATCGTTTTTGGCTAAGTTATGAATTTTTTAAACTTTGATTGGTCGAAAAAAATGTAGTAAAAAAATGTGGACAAATATTGACTCAAAGTATGGTATTGTAATTTTAGTCAGAAAATTTTTACGTTGTGAAGGAGTCATTTTCGAGTAAGCAGTTTTATTACCCTGATAGTAAACAACACAGGCCCGCTTTCCGAATCAAAATTGGATCGTTTTTGGCAAAGTTATGTATTTTTTAAACTTTGATTGGTCGAAAAAAATGTAGTAAAAAAATGTGGACAAATATTGACTCAAAGTATGGTATTGTAATTTTAGTCAGAAAATTTTTACGTTGTGAAGGAGTCATTTTCGAGTAAGCAGTTTTATTACCCTGATAGTAAACAACACAGGCCCGCTTTCCGAATTAAAATTGGATCGTTTTTGGCTAAGTTATGAATTTTTTAAACTTTGATTGGTCGAAAAAAATGTAGTAAAAAAATGTGGACAAATATTGACTCAAAGTATGGTATTGTAATTTTAGTCAGAAAATTTTTACGTTGTGAAGGAGTCATTTTCGAGTAAGCAGTTTTATTACCCTGATAGTAAACAACACAGGCCCGCTTTCCGAATTAAAATTGGATCGTTTTTGGCTAAGTTATGAATTTTTTAAACTTTGATTGGTCGAAAAAATTGTAGTAAAAAATGTGGACAAATATTGACTCAAAGTATGGTATTGTAATTTTAGTCAGAAAATTTTTACGTTGTGAAGGAGTCATTTTCGAGTAAGCAGTTTTATTACCCTGATAGTAAACAACACAGGCCCGCTTTCCGAATTAAAATTGGATCGTTTTTGGCTAAGTTATGAATTTT